GGGAAATTTTGGATTCTATACGCTCTGTGGTGCAATCTGAGCATTTCCTGGCCACTTTCTTCTGACTCTGAATCAAATTTGCTCGTGTTCACAACTTCAAGGTTAGATTTTAAGGGGGGTGGTGGTGGGTCATCAAAGTTGATTTTTTTCTTGGCATTTTTTTGTTTTTATTTCTGAGCGGAACTCGTCACCGAGCGGGACCCCCCCCCCCCTCCAAGCGTACGGGCCTGTTAAATGTTTTTTTGTATTGATCGATTTTACTGTGTGCAACACGAGTATAAATTTGTCTTTGTCTTCAACCATAGTAATTTAAAATCGGTCCTGACGGGCTTGGGACCAATCAGAAGATTTAAATTGTCACCGACTTCACGAAGTAACACCCAAGTCTACTCCAGTGTTACTCCGTGAAAACGCTCAATGACAAATTGTGGTTACCGTTTCACGAAGTAACACCCCAAATGTGCGCCCGCACTTCGGACACTGGCGCGAACGGAGTTTCGTTTTCACAAAGTAACAACACTGTTACGGAAATACAATTCGGAGAAAAACGTTTTGAAACACTAAATAAAAGCCTTTAAACTGGCGAGTTACTTCGTGCAAGCAAAAATACACGAAGTGAACGCACAGTCTACCCGGATGGTACTTCGTGAAAACGAAAATTACTCGGTTCTGTAAAATACGCGCCTAGCGCACTCAAGCCCACTCGGGTGTTACTTCGTGGTGTCGTTGACGAAATGTCTGCAGTGTTTATGAATTTATTGTACATGTACTTCATGTAGTCAGTATGTCTCCGACATCACACCTTATTTACAATCGCTGCAGGTTTGATAGTCCAATTCACAATTCCTTCTCAATAACGTGAATGAATATAGGTAGAATACTTGATTTTGATGTATTTTTTGAAATCTTCAAATTTGCATAGGGGAAAGGTTGTTTGACTGACCTGTTGAAAGTTTTGCGTTCAGGAACTCCGAAAAACAGATAGGAAAACCTCGTTCGTTTTGTAATCGCCAGACATCTTGGTTTTATTGGTGTACGTTCTTTCCGCATCACGAAAACATTATTCATTCATGCACATTCCTATGTGATTTGTTTTCGTTTTTCTGAAAGAACACCTTAGTTGTTGTGATCCTTGGACAGAACTTTAAAACGGAGGTTGTGTTTAAAATTCTGTAACTTGAACATCACATGAGTGATTTCAATGATTCTTGTACTAAACGAAGGCTTATGAATTGGGCTTTCATATCCTAGATTTTGAAAGTGCTACATGCAGAACATCAATAAAACAATGGCCCCGACTATTGGTATCGTTTTTTTAAACTCAACCTGTACAAGTACACAGGCCGTCTATAGCCGCCTTTGGGAAAATGAAGAGAACTCGCTGGTATTTTGAGGATTATCGTGTTTAAGGCCGCGGGCCAAAGCCTGTAACATGCAGTTTCGTCTTAACTTTTAGTGGCAACTTAATTTCTCGGTTATAAGTAGTTTGAAAGATGTTAATTGATATTTTACAATGTACACATCACATCGTTTGCACAAAAGTTCACCACGCTCATGTTTGAAAGGATCGATTCAACTTTAAGCACCGTGTTGAGCGTTAAATAATGACTTATAATATTATTCATGCCCACTTCCTATTTATCTGTTGTGTCAAATTTGAAAGCATTTGAACTTAAAACATAGAAGTTATGGCAAAAATACTATTTTTTGACCCAAAATGGGCAAAATAATGAAGAAAAAATGTCGTCATAACTTTAATGTGCAAGTGGGGCCAATGTGAACAGCCAGATTCAGATTCAGCACTATCGAATTAGTAAAGTTGACCTTATTTCAAGTTGACAACAAAAAGTTAAGACGAACCTCAACTTCTAGACCTGATACAGATTTTGACCCATGGCCTAATGCATAATATTAAAATGGCAAATAGATATGGTAGATCAGAGTTTGGAAATTGGATTTGATTATTGTCATGTTGCAAAGGGCAATCTGCAGTACAACGTGGCTGACGTGACAGGTTACAAGTCACCCAGTCAGTTGCGTGTCACGCGTAGCTGGTAGCATTTCTTGTCCACACAAACCGACTGCAACGTGAGGCCAGCGATCGACGTCCGTAAAAAGGGCTTCTATTAAGAAAATTCGCGATTTTTACGCCAAACCACAACAGAGCCATAATAACAAAGTTGTTTTCAGTAGTAAAAGACCTAATACATACATATTATGAAGGCATTTTTTTTCTCAAAAAATCCAAAAGGATTTCGATGGATTTTGACGAAATTATTTCACGGACAAATCAACTTTAAAAATACGTGATGAAATTTCCTTTTTTGTTGACATCGACAAAAGTCTCCCAAATTTTGAGGTAATCAAAGGAAAGAATGAATCTTCATCTACAAGAAATCTCGTGAACGTGATGTCGCAAATATATTAAGAAAGCCATGTACAGTGTATACACCTGATGTTTCCAACAACCTCCATTTGTATAACGCGAAAGATGGTCGCCATTGTTCAACAAGCCAAAAACGGTATGACCTTGTGAGCCTAATAAAAATGTACGCCCACTGATTGGTCGAGCTTCGGATGGCCTGCTTAATATTTAAGGTTCATTGCACGTTCGCGCGTGCTTTTCACAATTTTTTTCAGGCCTCCATACGTACGTACGTTAGTAATTTTACACACGTACATGTACATAATGACTGCAAATCATGAAACCTCGCAAAAAGTCTTCATTTTTCAACCGGCGATTTGGGAAAAAAATGGTACGTGTTTTACATGTAAATGAAGCGTACACTATCCTCTACCTACTGAAACTTGTCATTTCTTTCTGCCTTTTTTAAGAATCGAATGTACACCTAAAAACACTCGGCCCTCACTTTTGTTGATCAAAAGTATGATTTTTGTTTGACGCAGCATAACAACACATTGTCAAAAGCAGTTATATTTGGTATTAAAATAAAGCACACGATTTTAACCTTTCACTTGCTTCGCCATCTTGGCCGATAGTGGTACATCCGAGTAGTTTAGTTGTAACCATGCGCGTCGGCAAAATGAAAAAAAGTTTTTTTCAATGAAAGATGATGTCTCAAAAACGCCAAACTCACTGGTATGACTGGAATCCTGCTGCTGTTCAATTTTAACGTGTTTTTAGATGGGGTTACGATCGAGAATAAGCTTTATGTGGCCTCTCTGGACTCCCATATATTTGCACTAAGTTTAGTCGGGCACCATTTGCAGTCATCAGCCGACATTTGAAGGGAAAAAAACGGTAAAAAAAACAAAAATTTAGCCGCGTCGTCGCACCACTTTTTGGGCAAGCTCCATACCAGAAACCGGAGACTTTTTTTTTTGGCGTTAGTATAGTTCGTTTTTTTTTATTCGGCGAAGCGCGCGCAAGCGTTGACACGACGCACACGTGCGCGCGGTTGCTACAACTTCGTCGGATCGGTGCGCGACATCGCGTAGCTAGCTGCAATCGGCTAGTGAGAACGTGTCTCGGACGCTGAATTCAGGCCCAATTCCAAACATGAGTCAACAACTTTTGATTTGAAATCGAGATCCTAGAATGTTGTTCTTCCCGAAATATACAGCTGAAGCTGATTTTGCGCACTTTTGTTTCTGCAAACGAACAAAATGCACAAAGTTACAAATGATGGACTATACCTTTAACATTACGTGCATGCTATGAATAAAATAATGTAAGTCTAAGCGCGCTAAGTAATTATAGCCTTCGTCACGTGTACATGGATATGTACGTGTCACGTACGTAGCATGTTTTAATTTCGGACTTCACATATTTACATACTCGTATAGTTTCGTTTAAAATAGAATTCGCGTTTTGGTAATAATCTATTTTAATATTAATTTTGTACATTATATAACTTTCCATTTTTTTTCCGTTCTTTTTTTTTTTTTTTTACCACACACAGCGGGGGGGGGGGGGGGGGGGGGATGGCCATTCATGTAAATATACTGTTCGAAATCTTGAACACTAGGGGAGAGGTAGACTTGACTCAAGTCGGAATTGCTTTAAGTCGGTATCTAAAAAAGAAAGTAGCAATAATCACTTAGTTTACGTCTTTCCAGATGCCCGACAAGGTGCACTTTAGCGCTCATTCCACTTCAGTGCCGTATAGCAATGCGCACACACTGTATGTACATTGTGCAACACGCGTATTACAAGTACATGTGTGTGCATGTATTGCAGAGCATGTGCATAC